CCCCAAAACCCCAAAACCCCAAAACCCCAAAACCCCAAAACCCCAAAACCCCAAGGTTAAATTATATTATTGAAAATTATTCAAAATGTCTTGGAGCTTAACAAAATACTACAATATCTTCTACCAAGGAGTCAGGCCCAAGATCACTGTAGGAAGTTGTTCTGCCCCACAAGATGATCACAAGAAGGTTGTTGCAGACAACCTTCTTGTCTGCAGATGCTCGGTCTGATGCATTAAGAAGTCCAACATTAACGCTAAAGAGAAGAAGAAAATACTTGAAGAGCTCAACAAAATTAAGGATTATATAGACAAAAATACTGAGAAATAAGGAATTCCACTGGCTTGCCCAACACTTGACTAGTCCTAATAACACCTTGAAAGGGTGTGAAATAAACATCCCTGAGTACGTCTTCTTCAACAATGGCAAACCTGAGTTCGTACTTAAAAAGGATAAAGATGGATTCCTCAATGTTATTACACAGGAGGATAAGCTCCAGTTCTACAAAATCAGGCGCACTCTTCATAATGTTATCAGAGCTAGGAAAAGGGGCCTCACGGTGGAAGAGCTTGGAGAGAATTCCAAGTTAGACATACTGTCAAAAGACCCTTCATTCGAAGTTGATCATAAGATGGCCAACTTAAACCTTGATTCTAGCCCAAAGAAGAGCTCATCTAAAATGTCAGAGTTCGGGTTTAGTCCAAAATCTATCCTAAAGGCTAGCTCTGAACCACCTGAATTAAATAAGGATTCAGCAATCATCAGGTTTCTCGATGGAAAGACTAAAATAGTTGGAGACGTTGAACTTGCTGAGAAGTTTTCCCAAAGCTCAAATATAAATTATTGGAAAACAGTCAGGTCGATTAACACTCTTGTTAAATCAAAGATCGGAATTGGGACACCTATCTTCATCAATTACATAATTCCTTATGAAAAATTAGGATCTGAGATAAACTATGATTTTAGAGAATTTGATGATGAAATTGATTACAAAAAGCACCCAAACTATGGCCTTCCACTTGACAAGTACTGCCTCAAACAATGTCTGAAAATCTGATATTACTTACAGAAAATATTCCTATACGAGATCATAAAGATGGACTGAGCCTTTGCGATGGGCGAAAACGAAGTCTGTCTTTACTATGTTTCTGACATTCATATCAGAGAGATGAAAGAGGCCCAGCCTTTCTGGATGAAGGAAAAGTCTGAATCCAAATACCTTGACACATACCACCACATCGAGGGTAGGATACTATAAGCTACATATAGGTGAGAACCGAGATTTCATTGATATGTACTACCAAAAAGAGCCTCAAGACCTCTATCCTAAGAATGGCAAGGAAGTCACTCCTTACGAAGCCCTCAAAGCTGTCATGTACAAAGAATTTGAAGTGATCAAAGAGTAATTTCATAGTTTATCCCTACAGGAGCAACGGAATCGACGATATTGTGAACTACCCCTTCTTCTGCCAGGAAGATGAGAAAGATAACGACGAAGCCCTCAAAGAGCTCCGTCCTGGCAGAAAGCACAAAGTTATGAGAGACTTCCTAGTCAAAAATAAAGATTTCAGAAGATTCAAGTAAAAGAGGGAAGACTGGTAGTTTACTTGTTGATTTTTAGCCCACAACCGAAGGAAGAAATCAAATTGAAAGAAAGTACCTCAGAAGAAAGCTCAAAATCAGTTGCTTCAGATCAATTCGTTCCAAAACTGTTCAAATATTTATGAGCAGATGATTTCTGATCAAAATTCCATAAGTAACTCCTGAGCTCTGATTTGTGTATAGGATGCTCCAATAGATCAATTTATAATCCTGAATACCTCAAGAAAATTCACAGCAACTATCAGAAAAAGAGGGTTGGGCCATTCGAGCTGAGGAAGCTCAGCGCTCTCCTTAAAAAGCAACAACATCACACAACAGCTGACTTCAAGAAGGAGCTCCTCTCGTAAGTTTTAGCTTAAATTTTGTAGACAATCTTCAGCAAGATCTCTTGAGAGAAGACTTGTCAATACAAGCAATAGATCGATAGGAAGATCTCGGAGAATACATCAGGAGGCTTCTTCATACTCAAGATTCCTGCATAATTTCACTGACTTATCTTCTCAGAGGGGTAAAGATCAGCAAACAACTAACAACTTAAAAATTCTTGTCGGAAAAATGGTAAATTACAAATTTAAAACTCATAGTCTGCTCCAAGAAGTGGCCCATCAAGAAACAGAGTTCATCGTCTACGAGAGACAGACAACATCAGAACAAGACATGACTGTAACTATTACTATCTTCACTACACAAAACCAGCCAAATTACTTCCACAAACATCTAAATCAACCAAAACCTCCCCTTAATCCTCTCTACCCTATCCTCCAAAACCCCCAAATAAAAATTCCCCATTCTCCCTCCCACACTCAATTTCACTCCAAAATTCAACCCTAACCTATTCCTAGCAACACAAGGCTGCCAAGAAAAGTACATAAACATCACTGAATTCAGAAGTGACTTCCACAAGAAGATGTTCAAGTCAAAACAAGTGTCCATTAAGGAGGCCAGAGCAGGGAAGATCCTGACCACTCATTCCTCAGCGGATTACACGTATATTTAGAAGACAATTTTTAGATATATTTTGGGGTTTTGGGGTTTTGGGGTTTTGGGGTTTTGGGG